CATGGAATTGAAGCTCTGGAGTTCAATGACCAGAATACTTACAGTTCCTAAAACATAAATTTAGGTGAAGACTCAGAACTGTCTCACCCAGTGTGGAGCACTGATGCTTTATAATGAAGAAAACTTCCCGTAAAAGAGAACAAGGAAAAGGAAGAAAAATTTTAAAAGGTACAAAAAAATTAATTATGCTTCCATACTTGATTCTCTTTTATAATTCCTGTATTTATGGGTTTAAAATGTTACTATATGAAAATGCTCCATTCATCTGTTGGTAACTTCTCACAGGCATCCTACTCAGAAATGAAGAGTGCTAGGACTTCACAAGCAAGTGGGTCATGCGACCGTTGAGTAAATTGAACTCCATCACACTGCAGAGGGAAATATTCCAGATTTCTTCTCTTCATGCTTTCTATATATATTATATATAATGTGTGTGCATGTGCATAAACAAAACAGAAGGGATTCCAGGATTCCAGGAGCAAAATGAATAACATTGGTATTCATAAAAACATTCAACAACTGAGGCTTTGTTGCAATCAAGTTGCTGTTGGCACTCACTAATAGACATGACATTTATTTACCTCTCTGACGGCCTCAGTGCCTCATGACACAAAACAGCATTTACTGGACTAAGTCTTGAAAACAAAACCCCTAGGAGAGTCATGAATGCCACTTCAGTACGTTGGGCAGGTGGCAAAGGGATGGATGTCACCCAAACCCATTGATACGTTCTTATTTTTTCTTTATTTTTTGAAACTTTGGTCAGGCGTTCATTGCACATAAATATCAGCAGTCAGGAATAACTTTATACACAGCTGTATTTTTTTAATTACTGTTTTGACTGAAACAATTGTCTTGCAGTCTACACATGGATAATACTGAAGATTTGCTTGGTGAAGCAGAACGTGTTGTGAAGATTGCTTACTCTTTTTTTCTATTGAAGTTCTTGCACTGAACGGGATCATCCATGTCATCCAAAGGTGAGGACCCGGTCCATGTTCATGTAGAGACTGGACAATGTAAAGTTCCTCCCCACATCATTTTTTAGGTGCATAAAGTCTTCGAGACCCCTAAATCCCTTCTGCAAATGGCCAGAATGGCTGCCATCCCTGCAGAGCTGTGCAGGTTGGGTTCAGGCCCTTCCTAGGAGCTACTGAATAATTTTATCCAGTGCAGACATCATGTATAATGTATAAGCAAGCCTAAGAGCTGGGCTAAGTCCCTGTCTCTGTCTTCCCACGTGAGGATCCCATGCACCTGATTAGAGCATCATGGTCCTTCTTAACACAATGATTCTTGAAGGCTTTTTGTGTGTGTGTGACCCGGCAAACAGAGGAGTGCCCAGCTCTGTCACCAGGGTATCGTCTTGCGAGAGCCATGAACAACCTGTGTCCTGAGAAGTGCTTTAGCTGCTGAATTAGAGGACAAAAGGTTATTGTGATGACCACAACCTCTTGCTCTTTTTTAGCCTGTGTGATAAAAGAGGAGCGTGACCTCTTGCTACGTTGTTGAAAGGAACAACAGCCTGGGTTAAGAGCCTAACCTCCAAAAGAAGCAAAATGCATGGCATGTTGCTCCTTAAAGCATTTCTCACTTGCTGATTTGTGTGGGTCCCCGCTCAGCGTGCTGGCTGCAGCAAGTCCCAGACGGCACACAGAGGAGCCAAGCGTGTAATCAGGACCTGAGCTGTGAGGCGGGGGAGACAAGAGCATCTACATTCCTCTGTGGACCTGATCTCAAGGCTCGACTTGGACTTCATTTGAGACATGCGGGTTAGATTCAGTTTTGTTGCAAATGGATTCTGGTGACTTCGCTATAGCTGCACAGATATGAATAAGATCTTGTTTTTGAAAAACATCTCATTCTTGTCTGAGAGACTTTCAAAGGAGATGAATCGAAATCTTCCTCTCAAGTTTTTCAAAGCTCTCTCAATCAGATAGGTCTAATCTGCCTGTTAAAAGTAAAAACAAAACCAAACAAACTTGGAAATGAAAAAACAATTCCTATTGATGTTAACAGGCCTTTTATAAAGGACTTTAAAGCTCTGAAATATTTAAAAGAATATTAGTTTATGTCTAGTTTTTTCTAGATATTATTTCAAGTTTTTTTCTCCTGTGGGTCTGAACAGGAGACAGTTCATTCAAATTTTTCTTCACAAACCCTCCTTTCTATATTTCTGGTTATCGACATTTCTGTTTTCTGAATTCCATCTAATTGACTCCTGCTGTGGTGGAGAGGTTGAAACACTTCCCCTACCCTGCAGGCTCTGCTCCTGTCCAACCCCTGGACGGTATTCACCGTTAGCAGAGTGGACCATGGCTCGTCTAATGACCTACTATAACAATGAAGACTGTTCTTAGAGAGCTACCATCTGTCAACTTGTTCCCTGTCCTGTGTCTATGCCATCCCTACATAGCACTTTACCCTCATTCTTACTGAATTAAATATTTTTAAATGCTATTTCTCAGTTTCATAGCCTTCATGTAGAATTCATTTTCTATTTACAGGTCTTCCCAAACTGGAGTCATCTGCAAATGTGATTAGCACATTGCTTATTTAACACCCTAGTCAGTAATGAAAATACTAGTAGCAGATCCCAGTACAGACTGCTGCAAAACCGTGCTCAGCACAGCCTCCCATGCCATTAGTGACCACTGACAACTACTGCCCGAGCACACCACTCCAAACACCTTTGCACACCACCTCATAAGAGCCCCTACTACGTTTTCTCCTTTTCCAATCTTCCAGTGCATCAATGGTCTTCCCCAAATGTCCCCTGTCTACAGCTTTCCCATTCCATTCTCTGGTCTTCCTTTTGCTATTCATGTAGCAAGTAGCACCCTTGCTGCCTACCACCCCCTTCTCGCACCCTCACTGCCAGGTTTGGAGTTGGAAGGGGAATTTCCCTCCCAGAGATCAGACCGTCCAGGACCATCTCTCCTCTGCTCTCAACAGCATGAAGCATCTTTGTACAATGTTCCAGGAGTTATGAGACATTATCTGCTGTTGCAGGGTCCTGGGGCAGAGGCAGTATGCTTGATCCTCTTCTGCCCTCTTCCTGCGGCACAGAAATAACTGTGAGTTTTTGGCAAGAGGATCTAGATCTTTTACAGCGTTTCGGGTGGAGTTTAATGGCTTAAGGTTGGTGCATCGAACCAATACTCTGTGTAGTCTTTCAGAGTGGACATCTGTTGCAGGACAGGGAGCCAAGCGATCCTTTCCTGCCTGTGTTCCTCTGCATTAGTTATTCTTGGTGCCCCATGTGAACTGCCTTTGTTTTGTGCCTTGGCCTCTGATTTTGTCACTACGTGCTCATGGTGTGTTTCTGTGAATTTTCTGATTTAGTTTCTAACTTCTGTACACTCTCTCCTTGTGATTGAGGCTCATGAAAAGAACTGTCAATGTAGCCATCTTGGTCTTTTCTACACCATTTTTCCATTCCTTTCACAATGAGATAATTTGCTGATGTGTTTCTAATACCATTTCCTTAAGAATCCTTTCCACTCCTTTGAACCAGTTTCCTGGAAGATCAGTCTTACAAAGTGTCTGACTTCTCTGAAGTCCACTTTCTTGAATGGATTCATGGTTTCTATTTTGTTGCTCTTCCTTCTCCCTGATTGTAAGCTCCGTCATTTCAGTCATCCTTACTCAAGTTAATTTCTGTGTGAACCAGGCCCGCCCCTGCAGTTAGAACTGCATCAGAAAAAGCTTCCTCTCTAATACCTCTCTTTGCTCTTAGAATACACAGATTAAAAAGAGAATGGACAACACTGCATCGCCCGAGTTTTCTGGACAGTCAGTTTGCCTTTTTCTCCCAGAAGATGTCTGAATAATTAGAATCTGTACAGGTCACCAAACTTTGTGCCCTGAATGATTTTGTTAGTTACTCAACAAAATATTTATCCACCTGACCTTCCTAATTTGGCAGCCTAGGTTGGGTCTGCAGATCCATTACTAAGCCCAGTTCTTTTCTTATTTTATAATTACCTCTCTCACCCTTTGCTCTGCTGGGCACATTAATTCATACCTCTTAGGACGTTCCCTTTCATTCTTTTGTCCCTGTTTAGACCTCTCTTCATTCAAGTAACAAATTGGGGTACAAAGATGCTCTTCTCCTTTGTCATGATGTTGATTCCATGCTCAACAACATCACATGGGATGGGATGGCCCCTGGCAATGTCATCTATACAGCCACACACAAACAGCAGCTCCAGGCAGGGGAGCTGGAGGGACATACTGAGAGCAACACCTGAACCCCTAATCCCTTATTCCCGGGGCCTTGGGAGCACTCCGATATGCTCTGGGTGACTCCTGGTACTGTCATCACTGGTCAGAAAAATGGGAGGCAGAGATGCCGCAGAGGTGCCTGATATCTTCACAACTTTTGTGCAACTGTTTCAGATTTGAGGTCTTTGCACATAGCATACCTCCTTGAATGTGAAGCTTGGTCCACTACTGTCTCTCTTTGTTGCCTCCTTCCTCAGAGCAACAACTGCCATCAATTTGTGCTTCTTTTTGAGAGTGGTAGCGATGAGTCCCATGGCCTTTATGGCACATGACTTTTGCTTTTCCACTGCCCTGTCCTCTAGCAGGTTCATTTCCTATTGGAACAAGAGAATAACCTCCACATCCAGGGGACACTCGCCCCTAGGTCAATCTCAATCCTTTGAGATTGACTAATTCATATTAATTATACACACACACACACACTCTTATATAATACACACATACATTCTGTTATGAAATAACTTTGCCTATTGCTGGTGCCACTGCAGACCTCACTCACTGCTTTTGGGATATAACCTCCTAAATTGTGTTGCTAATGCTCTCATGATTGTAATTACCTCTCAGCGTTCTTCTTCCTCCTACTGCTCTCTTGTTTGCCTCCAGAGAAATTACCCCAGCAAGCATCCCCTATGCCAGGTATCATTTTCAGCCTCATTTCACTGCAGTGAATTTGGATAATCCCAGCCCATCGTCTAGGTCCTGCCTCTGGCTCTCAGAGGTGCAGGAGAACAAGACTTCCAAAATATAATTCTCTACTTAGACTGAAGCCATTGTGAACTGTCCCTTAAAAACACCATTTGTAAGCCAGCCAAACAATATGCAATCATTAAAACAGTGTCTACAGTGGTGCCAGGACATTGCTCAATAGTTTTTATGAAGATTTGGGCCAGATACTGTGTATAAGTTCATTAACGCCAACAGCACTTTGTAGTTGCATTGACTGATGATATGATCTGTCTTTCAGAAACCACTGCATTTTAGTACACCATGACCTGTAATAATAAATAAATGGCCTATACTTGGGCATCAGAGACGTGGCTATCACAGTTTCAAGGATTAACAGGAGCTCACAAAATACCTGATTCTTTTGCTGTCTCCATTTTGAGGAAAGGCTTTGGTGGGCTGTAATTACATTTCACCTACTCTGGCTGCTGCTCTCTGAGTCTCCCTCCTCGCTACCCTCCGGAAGGGTTCTTTGCTGTTTTTTAATGAAATAGCTTGAACAAACATAAAGCTTCCAGTGAGGTAATGTGATGTTGGTTACTAAGCAGCCTTTGTAAAGAGCATGCACTGCTTAAACCCCCTCCCCCTTTTATCACTTAGATGTTATCTGCACAATAGGCCCAGTTGTAAGTAAATGCTGACACTACAATATGAGCGCGCTTTAGCTTTCCGCTCCCACGTTATGCTTTTAACACGCTACTTATTTTGAGGGAACCGAACAAAATGATGGTGATGATTCTTAGCTAAAAATAGCTGGTGCATACTAGCCAAGAAATCTAACAAAAACATTAAATATGTCCCAGGAAATAAAATTTATAGTGCAGGAAAGGCTTAGTGACTTCATTGCTCAGGTTACCAGTTGGATATCAGTTTCATCATCAGCAACCTCCAATTTCCTGTTTTGCTTATCGTAGAATTACTGTTTTCTTTTTTTAATGTTTGCACAGCCCATATGGCAACAGCTACACTA